CTTTTTCCATGCTTTCAAATTTTCCCTCCATCAATTCCACTTTTTCTGCTCCCTCTTCTACGCGAAAGTTCAGCTTTTCAAGAACAGAGGCAACTCCTTTTAAAGCCAAAACTATCTCTTGCCTCAAAATCTTATTATTTTCCTCTAAAATCTCTTTCATTTCTCCCCTAATTTGAGATATAACATTTCCCATCATGTCTTGCAAATCCTTCACCATTATTGACTGTGCCAAAGAAGAGGGTGAAGCTATTGATTTAGGTTGTTGCGCTGATGATAACACCGAAGAAGAAACCACCTTAGGAGCTGTAGGAATTACTGAACGCTTTGGAGCCATCTTAAAAAAATCTTTACTCCTTCTTAAAAATTACCCCCCCCCCAAAAAAAAGTTAAGCAAAAGAAAAAGAGAGATTAACTCCAAAAAATCAAAAAATCGTTCAAAAGGAAATCATTATAATAAAAAGAAAAAAGTTAAAAAAAAGAAAAGGGAAAGGGAAAAAAATGATTAAATAGAAAAAATCCATTCCATTTTTTTTAAAAGTACAAAAAACAAAACAAAAAAGTTAAACAGAAATAATAATCCTCTTAAAATCCAAACCCAACATCAAAAAATCATTATAAATAAACAAATCCACATTCCGTTCCAGTCATTTAAAAAAAAGGGGGAAAAAAACACCGAAAAGCCTGCTGATCGCCATTTTACTTTCCCTTTCAACAAAGGAAAAAAAATTAAAAAAGGGAATATAAAAGTAAATCTTTAAACTTAAAATCCAAATAAGATCAGAGAAAGCAAAAGCAAAATCCTCTACTCAGCTCTGTCCGCTTCTAAGAAAAACTCACCAGATCACTTTAATCGCGGAAGTGGTTGCAGCGGCTTGTTTTGTCCCTAGAGACAAAAGCAGCTGGGAAGCGGAGACAGTCTGAACTCCGTGGGAGCACTCTTTTCACCCCCAAAAAATGGCCTTGGGGTGCATAAGAGGCTCTACCACTATTCAGACAATCCTCTTCCCCCTCCTTTTGCCCGGGAGGGGGATTTTGAACCGCTGAACAGCTGATGTCCGCTGTTCATAGCGATTCAAACACTTACCCAGGACGGCTACAAAGTAGCCGCCATCGCGCACGCAGATCCACCGGAAGCTTCCAGAGTTATTCTTATTATAGGTCAGGTTCATCTTTTATATTTCTAGTTCATAATTTATATATTCAAAGTTCAAAAGATGCTTATTTTCAATTTCTTCAAGATTTTACACATACACACACACACTTACACACACATACATAAATGCTAGTTTTTTTTAAAAAAAATAATAATTTGCATTGCAGAAGTTCAGCAGGAAATTGCAGATTCAGAGTTCCCAAAGACTAGTTGTTTCCTTCTAGATTTTGCTTCTTGAAAGGCTGACAACTGTACTTGCAAAATTTTCATAGATAAAATGGCCAAATTTATGGCTGAGGAAAAAAATCAGCTTTATGTTAGCGGTCTAAGCAAATAAAGAGAGATACACAATTGGTTTTTTTTTTAACTTTGAAAAGCCATGTGTGTCTTTTAAGAAGTGTACAATAAATAGACATTCATAAAGTGAAGCTTTCTTTGTTATAGAGTCAGCAGGCAGAAAGAAAAAGTAGAGAATACACATTTATTTACTGTGATTTCAAATCAGTTACTGATTTCTCATGGCTGCCTGGACTACCCCCTGAAGTTTTCTTGATGAGGTTTTTCAGAAGTGGTTTACCATTGCCTCCTTCATAGAGTTGAGAGCAACTGGCCCAAGGACACTCAGGAATGGAACAACTGGCAACTGCCACCTCACTGCAGTCACCTTGCCGCAGTCACCTATTCATGGCCACCTTGCTGCAGGACACCCTGCCCCAGCTAACGTGCCACAGGGAAAACTCACCACGACCTTGGACCTTCTGCTCAGGTTTCCAAAGCCAGCCTGGCTTAAGGTAGGCGAATGTTCCTGCCAGCCTGCATCCCTTCTCTAAAGGCTTCCTCACCTCGCTTTCTAGCATCCCCCACCCATGAAAAGTGGGCTAAATGGGAGTCATTGTTCTGCACGTATACACACACATACATCATTCCGAGCTTGAGGACTTTTATCTGCATCCAAACTGGTAAGCTGCCAGTCACACCCCGGCTTGGGGAGAAAGACCTCTCCTTCAGCATGCTGGCAGCTCCTGGGCAAGGAGAGAAGCAAGCAGGGACAGTGACAGGGTGACTCATTCCCGACAGTGGGCTAAGCAGGAGCCATTCTTCTGGGCTGGATTCTTAAGTGGGAAGAGCCTTTGCGGCATTGTTGGGAGAGAATTCTGTCACCATTCCTGCTTGCCCCTCTCCCCACCTTTCGTGTGGGGTGAGGAAGCCTTTGGAAGAGTGTGGGCTGATGGGAACTTTCACCTCCCTTAAGCTGGGCCGGCTTTGGAAACCAGAGTGGAAAACCCAGGGTTGCAACAAATTGTGCCCACTGCAAGTTTGTCAGGGCGAGGCATCTCACAGTAAGGGGGGGGGCATGGCAAAGTGGCCGCAACTAGGTGATGGCAACAAGGTGGCTGCAGCAAGTTGTCCTAGACTCCCCCAGCTGGCTTTGTGCCTAAAGCTAGACTACAACTCATAGTCTCCCACTTTCTTGCCTGATGCCTTAACCACTATACCAAATTGGCTCTCAGATGATATATACGACCTATGAAAGTAGACAGTATTTTAGGCAAAAAAAAAGTTAAAGTAATTTCTGCAAATAGTTATTTAAGAATCTTAAATCAATGCTAACCAATGTCTTATTTTATAGACAAATTTTTCAAAGGAAGTAAAGAGTTTTTGAATGAATGAATAAAATACTATGCTCTTCATTCTAAGCTATAATACATTTGGGTTTGAATCTAGTCACAGTGGTTTATAAACTATAGTTTATGGCTAGGTATATTGGGAAAAAAACAGGCAGTGTAATGAACCCTAGCTTGGGTCTCTGAAGCTCTTAGTATGAAAGAGAGCAGTAATAACTCAAGAAGTAAAGTCATCTTCTCTCAAATGCTTCTCTTCCCAAAGGGCTTTTAACTGGCTTTTTTGTCAATTCAGCATTCTTTCTTATATTACATAATCATAAAATTTGCTGGATTAATTAAGTCATCAATTGTCATTGATTATTGCTGACAGGACTTGTCATTGTGTTATTTCACATGGATTTTAGCTTTAGCATAAATAATTACTCTACATTTTAATTACATTTCTACTCAAACTCAGTTATTGTTTTTTCTCTATAAACCTGCATAAAATGTACCTGCTGACTGAGAATAATATTTCATCTATCTGATAAATAAGACCCTAGTCTATATAACCATAACTTATGATTTATCAAATGTGGCAGTATATAAGAAGTATAAATTTGCTTTTTAAGGCAAGTTACCATCATTCTTAATAGTCAGATTCAGAACTTTGCTGTGAAAATAAGACAAGATAATTATGTATAATGAATTCAACATCCTTTCTATAGTGAAAGAAAGGAAACCTAAATACAGAAAATAATATAATTGAATATATTGTATAGACTTTAGAGTTAGCCTAAAATCAATGAAACTAGATAATCATGATAAAAGTCCCATTCCATATTTGCAAATTTAAGTCCCTTTTCAATGGTCTGAATCAAAGTTCAGTCTGGAATTAATAGACAAATACATTCTGCAGAATTCATCTCCAAGTTACTATGAATTTTGTCCAGGAAAAATAAAAACATGAATTTTCTTCTTTAATTTCATGATTTTTTTTACAGTTGCCTAAGAGTATGGTCATTCTCAGTATAAATTTAATAGGCTATCTAACCCTAGAACTTTTTTTGATTAGATATTCTAAAAAATGAAATATTAATTTTACCTTTGAAAGTGATGAAGAGTTAAGTGCAAACTAACAAAGTATTGATGCCTTGTCATGTCTACTTGCATAGATCCATATGTTAAAAAAAGTGTTTTCAACAGTGTTGAATAGAATTCATTTTTGCAAAGCTTAAGAGGTTTTTGTCAGAAAAGAACAGCTGGGAAACATGTGGTATCCATTGCCTCTATCACTTGGAAAAAATTTCACATGTAAATAAAGCCTTCATAAAAGCGTTGCCTTTTGAACCCAAGATTGTACACAATATACAAATAATGTCTAAAATGAATGGGATTTAGTAAAACTCTTAAGTTGCATCTTGTTGATGGAGTAATAAATACTATCAAGTGATATCATTGTACAGGCTTTTGGAGCCATAATAATAAGTCTAATCAGTTTCTGGTTTTAAATATGTAGTTTTTTTTATTGTTTGCTATGCAATTCCAATTGCTTCTTCAAAAATTACGTTTCTCAGAAATTCTGCACATGAGTGCAAAAGAGTTGCAAATGGAGCATTACTGTGCTAAATGTTAAATATGGCTTATAAAACATTAAATATGGCTTATAAAATGCATGTTAAATATGGCTTATAAAATGAAGACTTATAAAATGTTCTCAATTTTCATTTCTAACCACACCACTTTCACAGTTAATATAAATATTGCTATGATAGTATCTACTGATTTTAACATTTTATCCTAAGGATATTTAAAAAAAACCAAAACTGTAATGTCTTCTACTATCACATGCCCCCATATACATTAGTATCTGAATCCCTTCCTTTCCTTTCAAACTATCACAATTATATTCCAGGAAAAAAGGAAGAAAATTAGGAATACTTCAAGTTCCAATGTACATTTTTTTGTTTTCTATTTTATTCAAGTCTAAATGCTCTTCTTTTGTCAAAGAGGTTAAAGTATTAACGTTAATAGTTCCTTTGCAATTTAGATCTAATTCTTGCTTACAAACATATATGTATAAAGATATGTAGATAAAGATAGTTAAGAAAACCTTTCCACAGTATTTTGCTTAAGGATAATTCTATTTTCTGGAGTTTTTGTTCAATGTTTGTAGGATAATAAAGCATGAGCAACAATACAATGGAAGAGGATTCATTCTAAATTGTCTTTGTATCTTATAGTGTCTACCACAAACTGGAGCTCAGGAGTTTCAACGCTCCTTGGAAATACACAAAAGCCAACGGGCATTGCAGACATGTATAGCAAATTCAGACCAGTAAAGAGGGTTTCACCACTTAAGCACCAACCGGAAAGCTCTGAAAACAATGAAAGTGATGACCAAAAGAATCAGAAGGTGGACTGCCAGAAAAGCAATGACCCTCCATCCATGTCTCAGAATGGTGATCAAACTCCAGGTAATGGCGAAAGCCTAAAATCTAAATGTGTTGAACCTGGAGTTTTGCTTGGTGAGCTGGAGCACTATGACTTGGACATGGATGAAATTTTGGATGTGCCTTATATTAAGTCGAACCAGCAGCTTGCTGCTTTTACAAAGGCAGCTCCCGAGAAACGGATTTTGAATGTGTATTCCACACTGAATGGTCTTAGCAGCAAGTCCGGTCCTGTAGGGAACACTGAAAAGGCCCCCACAGGAACAACACAGTTCTGTGTTCTCTCCCCTGTGAAAGGCTCTCAGTTGAAAAAACCACAGTCCATTGGCGCTGATCAGCATAAGCAATTAGTGGAAGAACGTGAATTTCCACAGCCACTCATTAAAAGTGGCTCAGTCCATGAACCTGAAGCCCAGAGCAAGGGCTTCCTCAGTAGGACTTCTGCTGATAAAATGGAGAAGTCTGTGTCCCACTGCCAGTTAAGGACTTTTCATCTGCAAAGTACCGAAAGCAAGCATGACAAACTGAGCAGTAACGTGAACTGGAACAATTCCGGAAATTCAGAAGAAAATAATGAGGATGTGAAAAAAACTAAGAGCATCTTAAATATTGTGAAAGAGGGACAAATTTCACTTCTGGTAAGTTTTTAAAATAATTCATAAGGCACTCAAGACAAAATATACATTTTCCCTTCTTGCATATAAATGATTTGTAATCCACAAAATATGCATGGATTGTAGCCTGCAGTGAAAATATCTTTTAAAAGGTTTATTAAGCAAAAAATATACTCTACCTTTGTAATTTACATGTAACTCTGTTTTTCAGATTGGTACAGTTTCAGTTGTTTAGTTACTAACAGAATGAGTTCAATTTCTATTTAGAAGCCAGTGATAGCAACAGAGAGTCTCCTGTTTTGTTCTAATTATTATTCAGGAGTGCTTATCCCAGCTTACTGCAACAGCTTTCATGAACAGGAGTTCACACAGAAGCCCCCATTGGCCTCTAACCCATACAGAGAGTTCCTGCTTTATGATCAGACATGAAAAAAGGCATTTCCAAAATAACAGTACTCAAGTGAATAAGGTTGATGTAAGGAAAACAAGTTTTATGTGCACTGTTCACTTTATACATGGTTTTACTTTGACTCCCCTAGACAATGTTTTCAAAAACAGTACAGTGGTTAATTAGATTCAGCATAAAACAACACATGCAATCAATTTATGAGACTGCAATTGTAAAAGCTATGAGTTATTTTCTTCTCTGTATTGTTTGATGCAGCTTGTCTGAATATCTAAAAATATTGAGTGTCACTATTGGCTGATCCTAACCATATCTTTTCAATTGAAGCCCTGGAATTCAGTGGAGCTTAGTCCAATATCAGTATATTTTACATCCGAAAGCTGTCAGTTATCTGAATGTTCTTAATTACTGTCACTTTTGCCTTTTCTCTTTCCATTTATTTATTCAGCCATTTAGTGTTTTTTTTTGGGGGGGGGATTCTCTTTAAAATAAGATCAGTTGTGATACCTTAATTCACTGCTGAGCTTTCCCTGTTGGAGTAAGCTGATGTTTTTGTGTCATATTATTACTGAAAAACTGAAGATAATGTTAATCCTAAAACAGTAATGGTGTCACTAAATTCTAATGCAACTGGCAAAAATGCAGGATAGACATTACAATCACAGAGTGGAATAAGCTTGTGTATTTATTTTTGCTTGATCTGGTGAACTGTAGACACAAAATAAATCCACACAATGTAGTGTTATATTGTTCTAAATTAATCCCTTCGGAACAAGGGACTATTGTATTACAGTAGATCAATATTCATCCTTGCCTAGACCAGCTCTGCCTTCAAAAAATGAGTGGCACTACACAATTAATTTTCGGTCTTATGCCTCACCAGCCTAGAAGGAAACACTGTTTTTTAATCCTCTAGGGCATTCCAATTATTTTCTGTCATTTTTTTTGAAGAATTATAGATGGTTATATGTGGACACATGATATTGGACATTGAGTCCCAAGCTCTAATTCACTATTTCCAATCTTTTGATGATGCGTTTTTTAACAATGTTCATATAAAGCTAATTCCATTGATTCTTTAGATACTTAGACATTAGTATTACCTAAACAGTTAATTATTCCGATATACATGAGATTGCCTTATAAAAGCTGTAACAGTGTAGCAATTTATGCAGAACTAAATATTTCTGGTATTGTCTGCTACAAAGGGAAAAATCAATATAGAGAGCCTTTAATTATTTTTGAAGCCAGGGTTAAAAGAACCCATGTATAAGAAAAAAATTAAATAAACAGTTATAGCCATATTGATCTATCTGGAAAAATATACCCTGTTGGATTAACTTTCTTTATTAGAATCACTCAGAATAGTACATAAATGTGTGAAAGCTTTCTGGTTTCTCAGAATGCTTCAATAGGTCAGGTGTTTTAAAAAGCTAAAGATGGGAAAGAAGCCAGTTAGGAAGTTTGAAGTTCAGATTCAGTTTCAATATGATGGTTGTTGATTAAAAGCATTTGTTAACAGTAGTTGCAATAAATGTTAGGCTTCATCTAATATTAGAAATAATATCTTACATCATGAAGAGTTATGGAGAATTTAAAAATGTTGTCTGCTTTGTTGTCATTTTGTTGCTCCTAAAAAGGATATTGTGCAGATGGGGTTTGGATTTTGTTCCTGCAGGATGAGTAATGCTTAAATATATATAAAATAAACAGTAAGATTAGGGTGGAGAGGAGAAAATGCTATAAATGTAGAATATACCATTTGGTCTTTTCCAAGCTTGCCAGCTCACATTAAGTCTTTGGGAAGATTTAAATCTGCAAAACTAGGGCAACTTTTCTTTCATTTACTAAACTTATAACCCACTGTAGTCAAATGACTATCAGCAGCTCCCAAATTATATAATAAGTAGCAATTACTTGAACATTAGGGATGAGAAAAAAATACAAAAAGAATTTAAAATGGTTTAATACAGTAGATCAAGAATATACCCTCAGAAATAATTTGGTTTTCAATAATGTCATAAAAGCAAGAAGAGGGTAAGTCTAAGTCAGGGGTCTTCAAACTTGTCCCTTTTATGACTTGTGGACTTCAACTCCCAGAATTCAACTGGGAGTTGAAGTCCACAAGTCATAAAAGGGACAAGTTTGAAGACCTCTGGTCTAAAGGAAGGCCATTCCAGAACATGGAAAAAGCAGCTCAAGCCTCCCTCACCTCCTGGGACATAGGGTGTATATAAATAAAATGACAATTATACAGAGTATTACAAAATCAGTTTTCTAATCCATGTACAGGTAGTCCTCAACTTACAACCACAATTGACCCCAGGATTTATGTTGCTAAGTGAGACATTTGTTAAGTCAGTTTTGCCTCATTTTATGATTTTTCTTGCAGTTGTTAAGTGTATCAGTGCAATTGTTAAATTAGTAACACAGTTGTGAAGTGAATCTGGCTTCCCCATTGACTTTGCTTGTCAGAAGGTCACAAAAGATAATCACATAACCCCAGGACATTGCAACTTCATAAATATGAACCAGTTGTCAAGCATCCAAATGTAAATCACATGACCATGGGGGATGCTGCAATGGTCATAAGTGTGAAAAATGGTCAAAAGTCACTTTTTTCAATGCTGTTGTAATTTTGAATGGTCACTAAATGAACTGCTGTAAATCAAGGACTACCCATATAGTGTATTGTCCTTAAAATCCTTACTGGACCATGGAGCCAAAACTCAGCAAACCCATGATGAATTTCCTACTGATTTTTGCTGGGGGGAAAAACCATGATGTATTAAGCCTTGGATGGATTTAGACCTAGATATTTTTTTCTTTAAAAAAAGACAGCTTTCAAAGTGAAAAGAGCCTAAGCGTCCTACTCCTTCTTCATGTAGTTATAATATTATATCACAACCCTGCAGATTTTGAACACCAAGGGGAAAAAAGATAGAAATTTTCAAAAGTGTGGTTTTGGTCATTTAAAATTGTCCATTCCTGGTCTGGCTCTCATGAATAACTTCTAGAAATTAAAAAAATGATGTATTTAAATTTCACAAATGACATTGTTCAATTATATAGAGATAGTTCTTGACTTACACTGCTCACTTAGCAACTGTTTGCACATCCAGCAGATCTAACTGGGGGCACTTATAGCTCAGATTTAAAGTTACAAGGGTTGAGTCCCCCCCCCCTCAGGTTCATGTGACTGTAATCCAAGTGCTTAGCAGTCGGGCCACATTTACAACTATTTGCAAGGTCCCAAAGTTACATGACTGCAGTTTGTAATGGTTTTGCCAAAAAAGCAAGCATTTACATCCAGTTTTTGGCAAAACCACACCCATAGCAAACAGTCGACTCATATAACAACCATGGTGTTCCCTTAATGACCCTGGTGATTTGCTTAACAACAGCTGCACAAAAGGTCATAAAATTGGGTCATTCATATAACCAACTCATTTTATGACTGTCATAAGTTCTGACCATTGAGGGCAAGCTCATGTATCTACCTGCATCAATATAAAAACATCCAATAAACATAATCTGTATTTTCTAATATAACAAATTTAGAAGCAACTAAGAAAACTAACCTTGAATTAATGAATTAACACTTCCAGTTTTTATTTTTTTGCACAGCCCCACCTTGCAGCAGACAATCTGGACAAAATCCACGATGAAAGTGGCAACAATCTTTTACATGTTGCAGCATCGAGAGGGCATGCTGAGTGCTTACAGCATCTTACTTCTCTAATGGGTGAAGACTGCCTGAATGAGCGGAACAATGAGCAGCTAACTCCAGCAGGCTTAGCAATAAAGGTAATATAAAGTTCTATGATACCCATTTGTCAATAGACATTTGCTCAGACATAATCACGTGGGCCATATTATTGAATGAACCATAAGAATGAAATGAAAAACTGGTAAGAACATAAAAATCTTCACTTATAATACACCAGATGTAATTGTGGAAAATTGGAAAATATCACACAATATCAAGATCTGAAAATAGAAATTGAAAGATTATGGCATAAACTGGCCATAGTGTTCCCAGTGATTATTAACACTTAGTAAAATCTTGGATGGCACTTAGAAAATCTGTACATTGACAAAATTTCCATCTCTCAATTTCAAACGATCACATTGCTTAGATTCCCATATATAATACATCGATACATTATGTCATCCTAGGTTCTTGGGAAGAACTCAATGAGTATAAAGGCCAATGTTTGCTAAAGAACTGGCAACTGTGATTTCACACTGTTGTGAAGAGATAGTAATAATAAGTTAAGTAGAAGATCTGGCTCACATTCATACCTTTCTAGATTAGAAATTCACTCATCCCAGGCCAGTTCCTGGGTAAAAAGCTAAATTTTTAAAGTCTTTCTAAATGCCAATTGAAAATTTATTCCAAAGGCAAGCATAGCTAGAGAAAAAACATACCTTTTGAATAGCCCTATTTCAAAGAGGGGATTCAAAATCTACCTGCCTTTTAGAATGGGTGGGACCAATAGATATCCTTGGATAGAAGTGATTCCACAGAAAAATCTAGTTGTATGCCATATCGGACTATTCTAGATGATTATCAGTACCTTGAATTGCACCCAGAAATTAATGGAGAATCAGTCTAGTCTCTTCCATTCTTCAGTAACATGCAAAATGTGGCTTCTTTGTTTGTGCTCACGGCACTGGCGGACATATGGAGCGATCGCTCTCCCCTCCATCCGGTTTTCTCCTGCTGGGGGACTCTGAAAAGGGTCAGAAGTCGCCCTGGAGGGGCGACGAATGTGAAGAGGACCTCCGACTGATCGCAGAAGGGCAGCAGCCCTCCCGTTTCATCCAGAGCAGTTCTTCGAACTGACGGGGAAAAGATCGGCCATTAATATGGCCCATCACTAAGCTGTTACCAGCCAAGGCCAAAATTACTATCAAGCACTTCGAAAGCACCACGGAGGAATTGGATGAGATCTTACCTTCTTTGTATTTTCCTGCAAAAAGCCTCTTGAAATTTCTTCCCCCTGCGAGGAGAGAGGGAAGGGAACATCTCCCTCCCACCCTCTAAAATGGCGGCGTCTGACTACTTGGAAAAATAAAACCTTGAAAAGAACAACTAAGTATTTGGATTTGCATCTTTTTGATATTTGGGGACCCCAAAAGTTCCTACTTTCACGGGGATCTGTTACCTTATCTACTTGTAAAAAAGATGAAAGGATAAAAACCCAGCCTGTCCTGAAAAAGACTATAAATGCTATCGGGGATATCTTGTGGCGAAGTTTGGTACAGCAAGTGAATATTCTTGAGACCAAGAGAACTGCTTACAGCCCAGACTTGTCCTTGGTATTATCTAAGAGAGATAAAAAGCTGCGAGAACAGCTGGGCGGTGAAATTGGGTTTTAGGAACTGTGGAGGTGAACACTTACTGACTCTTGTTTAAAAATAGCCTCCACTAAAGGACCATTCATAACTATCTCAGAAATGGAGGAGGACCAGCAACAAATTTCGGCTAATTACAAACTTATACTTGAAAAAATTATTGAAGCTACTGAGATAATTAAATCTAGACTGAAAGACAAAGGAGCCAGCTTAAACCTACAGAATGAAACCCTGATTCCAACTAAAGAATTCAAAATTCAGAAAACAACAGAAGTGGAAGAAATTAATACCAAGATAGAGGACTTTATAAGAACAACAAGTACAATGTACTGAAAATTTTGATAATCAAACCCTGATTGCAACTAAAGAACCTACAACCCAAAAAGCAACAGAAGCAGAAGAAAGTAATACCAAGACGAAGGGTGTTAAAGATTAACAAGTACATCACACTGAAAACCTAGACAACCAAACAACAACCATAAAATTGGACATGACTTTTTACTTAAAATTAATAACCAGATGGTCTCCTTTGATTCAAATAACATGTGCAAGAATGAAGGGAGATCTATCTGATGATTTAAAGGCATTGGTATGGAAGCCTGGTTGGCATAAAAAGAAAGCTAGAGTTATATTTAAAAAATGGAGTCTTCTGATTTATGACAGAAGATCCTAATGTCTCAACTAGTGGGCTAAAGGGAGATTTTGAGATGAAGGGAAATGTGATTATAGATTTAAATATTGTTGGGAAATGATAAAAAATAAGGGATTAATTGGCTTAATATTTAGGATTTAGATTCATAAGGGAAATGAAAATTAACTATTGGAAATAGCTTCGAATTATTGTTTAGCCCAGATAATACAAATGATGGACTTGAGACAATAAAGGACACTCTATTAGTAAGTGGTGATGTACTAGGATGAGAAATAGAAAATGTTTATGAAATAAATTAAGAATATATTTAAGTAAATAATATATGTATCTTAGATATTATAACTTTTATGTAGTGAAATAAAGGAAATTTGGGTTATTCGAAACTTAAATACTATGGATGCTAAAAGTTAAATTGGAATACCGTAATTTAAAATTTAAAATTAGGTAAAACTTAAAAACAGGATATGAATATGTATAAGCAAAAATATATTGATAAATGTCTCAACTGAGCTTGTTATAATTAGAAATTTACTTTTTAAAATATGATATAGCAAATGTTAAGGGAAATAGAGAAGGATTTTTTGATGATGTAACCTGACATATGTACTAAAGATTTTGTTACTGAATTATTGATTACCCAATCACCATGCTGCTTTCTCAATACTTAAATGTAAAACTGGAAAACCAATACAATTTGTTTTAACAAAGTAACATGCAAGATGCATGTAACATGCACTAGGAATCATTTTGGCAATTTCCGCAAAGTGGAAATCAGTGGGAAGGAAACACTGCAGCATTGCAGGAAAGTGTTGCAAATGGCATATACTGTAGTCATGCTGGCCGTATGACTACAGAAACATCTTCGAACAATGCTGACTTCCTCGGCCAGGAGACAGAGATGAGCACCATCCCTTAGAGTCAGACACAAGATGACAGGAAACTTTGCCTTTACCTTTTTACTGAAAACAAGAACAAGATGAGCAGTACTGTAAAGGCACATATACTGTCAAATGACTAGCAGTTGAGCCAATGACTTGTGCACAGTAAGAAAGACCCATCCTTCTGCTAACATTGCAGCTGTGTGGTCTTTATTACTTTTGAGTATTTTTTTCCTCTGGTTGTTCTTTAGCAACAGTATATATCGGACCCAGCACAAAAAATTAATACAAAATTAATTTGAAAACCACAATATTTGGTTCCTCAAAGAAATAATTCATCTTAGGTTCAAAGAATGTTACACCTACATAAGCTTGCATAAGAATGCAGCCTAAACCAATGCACGCTTACTAGTTTTTTGAACTCATGGATAAACCTATGCAGAAATATTAGTGTGTATAATACTAATTTGGAGAGAGGTCTGTATACCTAGTAGAGTATTATTTTCAAGTACTGTAATTGTGCATTATAGGAGCATTAAAATAAAAAGCTGTGATTACTTTATTAGCAAGTAAGGCTAATAAACAGCTTCTGCTTCAAAATGACAAAATAAAATATCTAGAAAGACATGGGTATCCTGTCTTTGAATCGCTTCAAAAACAGTTGCAATTTATAACTATGAAAATGAAGAATAGCTATGTTATAGGTGCAGTTACATACAGAGTACATTTGGGAGATCCATCAAAAAGATTTCAATTTAATGTTTCCATTAAATTGCCAGTAAATGAGCTTTATAGTTTCTTGACCTTACAATTGCATAAGAGTTGCCAGTGGTGGGGAGATATTAACATATACCCATAGTTTGTGCAGCTCAGCTGAATTATGATTCAGCCCTTATCTAGTAATCAATCTCCAAAATTACTTTTTGCAGTACATATAGTTCTTGGGAGGGGGAGGACATCTTTAATGTTTTTATTGGACCTTAATGTTCTTTAAATATATTATGTCTTGTTTAATTGCTGTATTGTCTGTCTTCATTCCAGTACTTTACAAAACAGACATACGAGTCTTCTTCAGCTACATGGTTCTTCTGTGTATGCTGTTATATTTTACAAGTAGTCAGCAATACTATAAAATGTAATTTTTTCTTGTATTTCATAGCTGTCAGCTGACATTTTTCCAGAAGAAATTTGTTATTTTTAATGCATTAATATGCATGTCTACTAAGAAATAAATCCTATGGACTTCAGTGAGACTTGCTGCCAAATAAGCATGCAAAGGATATATATATATATATATATATATATATATATATATATATATATATATATATATATATATTGTTCTTATATGCCTGCTAGGTTTTGAAAGAGCATGTTTATTTTCATGAGATAATGTGAAAAGGCTTTAATATCCAAGCTGTCATAGTTTTCAGTGTTGCACATTGAAATAAAGATGCATGAGAAGCACTTATTTCCTCTCGTTTATCCTTATTTATACACTCACACTGAAAAAAGCGTTAAATGTTATCCAAAAAGTAACCTATTTTCATAAACCTACTGCAGGACATCTTTGCATCATAGAGTCATAGTAGTGTCACCTAACATGGGACTGTTATTAAAAATATGTGGGAAAATACTACAAATATATAAAGAGTATGCTCTAACCCTGTTAGAGTATTATTAACCCTGGGTATTATTTTTGCTAGAATATCAAGATTAAAAACACAGTTGCCTAACCCTTTGATTTCTTTAACAATAAAATCCATAATTAAAATCAGAAAAAATTGGGGGGAAAAGTCAAGCTGTGGAGAAATGCAGCAGATATTTTGGGTCTGAAATATACCTTTACCAGATATCACTATTGTTTCTTTTATATTAAGAATTAACATCCTATGATCAATATATTATCTTCTTTCCCCCTCAAAATCTGCACTTTATTAAACAATGTTAATTCCATGTTTAAATTATTTTTAATATTAACATTATGTATTGGGATACTATGGTGCTTCCAGAGTGTTAGAGCTATAGCAGCCATTCTGTCTGGGAAATGTGGGAACTGTAGTCCTAAACATCTGGGAAGCAGCAGTGATCACTAAGAGTTTGCATGAAATAAATATATATTTACAAAAGAATTCTTACAAACATGCCATCAAGGAAACACTGATGCATTCAAGACTATTTTAATTCTTAGGCCACTTAGAAGCAAATGATGTTTGCACAGCAGAAGTGACTCATAAATTGTAAATAAGTCTGCAATCAGTGCCATTATGATAATAAGCACATAAGAAAGCAGTCTGGTGTGTGAACTGTCAGGACAGATATTTATTTGTGTGTGCTTGCAGTTGTGACGATGGTATGCTCACAAATAAGCAGACCTGGAAAAAAAAACTCTTCTTTTTCTTTCTTTTACTTAGAATGGTCAGCTGGAATGTGTGCGATGGATGGTGAGTGAAACAGAAGCTATTGCAGAATTGAGTTGCTCTAAGGATCACCCAAGCCTTATCCACTATGCCGGATGCTATGGGCAGGTACAGAAAGACAGATATCACATACATATGTATATAAAATAATTGATTCAGGCTACCCTCATTACATTATGTATTCTCCTTATCCATAAAAATAGGAACTTCAGAATAATATCTGTACCAAAGATGGATTTTTTTTTCTTGAGTACAGCTGGTCCTTGATTTACAGCAGTTCATTTAGTGACCATTCAAAGTTAAAACAGCACTGAGAAAAGTGACTTATGACCATTTTCACACTTATGACTGTTGCAGCATTTTCCATGGTCACGTGATTTACATTTGGAAGCTTGACAACTGGTTCATATTTATGACAGTTGCAATGTCCCAGGGTCATGTGATCACCTTTTGCGATGTTCTGACAAACAAAGTCAATGTTAACTAACGTATTTTCTGGCGTATAAGACGACTCGGCGTATAAGACAACCCCCAACTTCGGAGAAGATTTGCATGGTTAGAAAGTCATCTTATACACCGGAAAATATGGTATTTTCCAGCGTATAAGATGACTCAGCGTATAAGACGACCCCTGACTTCGGAGAAGATTTGCATGGTTTAGAAATTTGTCTTATATGCCGGAAAATACGGTATGTTACCAATTTAACAACTGCACCGATTCACTTAACAAATGTAGCAAGAAAAGTCGTAAACTGCGGCAAAACTCACTTAACAAATTTCTCATTTAGCAATATAAATTCTTCTTTCAATTGTGGACGTAAGTCAATGACTAACTGTACATTGTTTAATTGCATTTTAACCAAAGTGTGAAGGTTGAGACTGGCACGAGAGGAAACGGGTTTCCAGGTTTAAGAGAATCATTATATTAACATTTATCAGTTGTATCCCACAGTCATCAAAAGGAGAGTCAAGTATAGACTTCATAGACTGACTCTAACATCTTTGCACTGCTGCAGGCAAATCATGTTCATATTTGCAATGAAGTGTCTAATCTGGCCAAGTCCTATCTGAGAATCCTCAGCTAAATCAAGCCAAGAGCTGAATAAGGCAAATATCTGGAATACTGAAATGTACTTTCAATCCTGATGTGAAGCCTAAACACAGAGTCCCTTTAAGTGTTAAGAATCTCAGAAATAAATGTAAAACAATTCTAACATATAAGAATTACAAGATACTTTTTAACATACTCAAAAGTTATTCAAGCAAAAGATAACCCATATAAACATCAGAATTGGCTACAGGTCAAGGAAAATATTTTTATAAGAAACTAGTGTTTTTGAATGGATTCAATACTCAATTATTTCCTCTAGCACTTGGCACACATTATATCTGTTTTTTGAGTAAATACTTCCTATGATAGGAAAGGTTTTTTAAAAGTGTGGGGGTAGTGCTAAAAAATAGACCCCTTTATGTCAATGTTGCCCTGCAAAACTTGTACAGGATGTTTTGTTTTGAGGAAAAAAAACATCTTGCCTTGCCTTAGTTCAAGGTCTGAATGCAGGAATATCCTTGAACCCAAAAATTTTCAGAAAAAGTAAAGGAGCCAGCTGGATCCTTGCCAGATGGTGACATCAGAAAGAGATGTAGATTGAGCACTTCTCCAATAATGTGGATCTTTACACTGTGAATTATGTTAATAGCAAAAATGAGCCTTATTTATTTTCAAACTCTATATGCAAAACAAACTGGCTCAACAAACACATCTTTGGTCTAAATAGTTGGGAAGAAATTCTGTGTTTTATTTTAATATACAAATGAGACCTGTTTGGGGAGTTCAGCTTTAGCATTTTAAAATATTTTTATATTTCTGCAAATCTTGGAATTCCTCTGAAGTTGCTCAAATCTATTTTTCCCCCAGTGATCTCATTTTGGCACCTTTTTCATTGGCACTGTCTTCTTCAATTTGTTAGGATTAATTCAAAAAGCTCAGTGCATGTAGGTTATATATGATTGTAGAAAATGCACAAATGGTCATTAACTGAAAACTAGGTTTTACAACCATAAAAGAATAGTTCAGAAGAAAAACTTTTTTATTTTTGGCTTTAGTTTACATAAGCCTTTTTTTCAACATATAAATCTGTAAAAAGCATTCCATCTTAGTCATATGAAGAAAATGAGCAATGTTAAGTACTTGTTCCAATGAATATTTTTTAAAAAATCTTTTGTCTGACTGATTACAGATTTTTGGTGTAACAATTTTTAAATATATTGATTAACTCATATTGCTGTTCTCTTAATCCAAACCAAATCAGCTTTCAATTTACAGATTTTTTCAGGGCTTTGTGTGTTGCAGTACATTTTGTTTCTTTGTATATAATTCTATCTCTTTATTATATGTCAGCAATATGTTTTGTTTCAACAGCATTTATAAAGAATTTTATTACAATTTTACTAATCTCATTCTTCCATTGCTTTAAATTGCTTTATCTGGGAGAAAATTATAGATTTATTACAGTTCATTGCCTTTATTTTGTCTGCTTCAGTGGTGATTTCTAGCAATCCTGGTTACTAGTTTATAATTAATTGTAGCATTTATAAGAAAATTTGTCAGTTTGATCAATGCATAAATAGATTTCTATAATTTTATTTATTTACTATAATTCTGTACTGCTAAATCTGCTGAGGACTCATGGAAAATTCTAAATCTAAACATAGTTGCAATATAAGAAGTAGAAAATATTAAGGATACTAAGAGAACTGAATATATCTTAATGAAAGATGAATGAAGAAACAAGTATTTCACAAATATCTGGAGGAATGTCTACCCTTCAGAAGCTCACTGGTTGATTTTGGGTCAAACAATCTCTGTCAACCCAACCCATCTCATAGGATACTGTGGGAAAAGGGGGAGAAGAGATCATTATGCCTTTCTCCTTGAGTATCTGAACACAAGACAGGATATATATCCAAAAAATAAATAAGTTCCCAACAAGAAGAGGAGATTGACAGTAGATTAATTACCAAGCAAAACAATAGACTTTTTTTGATGGATGTGTTCAAACAGAGGCACTTGACAGAGGATTTTTAATTAGATTCTTTCAATGAGAAAGTGGTTGGCCTAAAAGGTCCCTTGCAATTCCATAATTTGAAGACATAGAATAATCATAATAACTATCTTTATTTAATTTAATTTTAATTACATCAATTTTATTTTTGCTATGTCCCTAGCCATGTCTTTTTAGGAATGTGGAGCTTCAGCATACTATTTAGATATGAGGTAGGATTTGAATATTTAAACATAAATGTTATGAGAACTTATGCATTTCTCAATTTATTTATCTATTTATTAAATGTGTATCCCGCGCATCTCACTTAGAAGCAACTCTAGGTGGCTTCTTACAACAGATAAAAACAGCAAGGTAAAACATTAAATATTAAAATCAAAAATACTAACATTAAAATTACCTAAAAAAGGAAAGAAGGGAGCAAAATGCTCTCAGAGTACAATAGAAACCTTCCCTCAGTCCAATAACCATCTCCAGTATGATACATCCCCATTGGGGGCCCAGGCCAATTGCGAGAACCAGGTTTTAAGGGCCCTACAGAAGGCCAAGAGGGTGGGTGTGGATCTCACCTCAAAGGGCATGAGGTTCTGGAGGACAGGAGCCACAGCAGAAAAGGCTTTTCTCCTGGACCCCTCCTAGCAGAATTCCTTGACCGACAGAGTCCTCAGCATGCCCCTTCTGCCAGCTCTGGTGGGGCTGGCCAATCCTATTGAGGTGAGACAGTTCCTCAGGTAGCCTTGGCCAATGCCTTAAAGGGCTTTAAAGGTAATAATCAACACCTTGAATTGGATCCAGCAGCAAACTGCCTACCAGTGCAGCTCACACAACAGCAGTAGTACATGGGGCCCCAAGAACTACTGTGCAGCTGCATTCTGTAGCATCTGTAGCTTCTGAATCCTCTTCAAGGGTAGCCCCCTGTAGAGCACATTGCAGTATCAAACTGTGAGATGACAGGGCCTAAGAACCTGAGCAAGGAGACTGACAAGCTAGGAATATTTAGTCCATTAAGAAAATGTCTGCTTGTAATGGTAGTTTTCCAAATTGAACAAGATATAGGAAGTGTCTATGTAAACATCAAACTTATTCATTGTCAGTTAAAGGATTCAAATGCTCACTACATCATAGGAAGGCTATTAGAAAAAAGCTAAAGATGCCTCTGATGTTGACAGATAAATAGGTTCTAAGTGGGAAATAGTTCAGGTTCTAAAATTCTGTAGTACCATCTTTTTCTGTCATGAAAATGATTAATTTCAGCTTGGAACACCAAAGAACTTGATACTGCTGCCCCATGATATATTAATATTGATTCTATACTCTATTACATTTAATTACTCTTTTCATTTTAAAAGAAAAAAAATCACACAAAAATGCTGAAAAGATATTACAGTAATCCAAATAGCCAAATATAAATAGACTAATTAAATTAACGTATCATTATAGAACATGGGTTGCAGTACAAATAGACAAATCATTATTTATTATAACTGGGGAAAAATATGTGCCATCAATGGGTGCTAATCTTGCCTGAACTTGAATGCTATAGTTAGGAGACCATAACTAATAGATAACACATGTTCACAATGCTATCTTGCATTTTTGTACATTAAATCTTTATTGATAAATAGCTAACAGTTTATCTATTTAGTTCAAATATTTAATGCCAAGAAAAGAAAGAATGGATTTTAACTATTGCACTTTTGATTGCACATACATTTTAAAATCAATCACCGTAGACGTATCACAAAACCATATGTATATTTACTCATACAGTAGTTCAATAATGCCTACTCCTCCTATGGAAAAGTTATCAACTGTAGGATGAGAGTATTTAAAATTTATTAATACTCGATGGAATTTTAATAGTATCTAACATGGGTTTTCTATGAACTAAAGAAGCAATTGGTGTTAAATTTTGTTGTGCAGGTACTAGCTAAACATATTGTGGTGTTTTATACATTTATATATCACATCATTTTAATTATCAATATTCACTGTGCCTATTTTGTTCTTTACATAGTTTATAAAACGTTTCTTTTTCCCTGTAGGAAAAAATCCTTCTGTGGCTTCTTCAGTTTATGCAAGAACAAGGGATTTCTTTGGATGAAGTTGATCAGGATGGTAATAGTGCAGTTCACGTGGCTGCTCAGCATGGATACTTAGGATGTATTCAGGTAAATCATCGAAACAGGAATGGGCCTGCCAGACTTGTGGCCCTCCAGATGTTGCTGAGCTACAAATCCCCAGAGCCCCAATCGATATGGCCCATGACGAGGGATGCTGGCAATTGTCAGCAACATCTGGAAAGGCACAAATAACAGCTTTGTGAAACACTGTTAGCTTGAAACATAAGATCTATTACATTGAATGATGGTTGATATATGCTATGTTCTAGAACAGTGTTCCTCAACCTCAGCAAAGTATATTGACTTTAAGGTATGTACTGTAGACTTCAACTCCCAGGATTTGAAGTCTGCATATCTTAAAGTTGTTGAGATTGAGGAACACTGATCTAATATCTCAGAACAAAATGAGGCAATATGTTTGGCCTGCAAGAGAAATGGGATTTTGCATAAAATATGGCAAAAGGGGAGATATTGTTTCTACCTAAAACCATTTGGATTGTTATGTTGGAACTTTTGAGTTTCTGTTGTTATCATGAATCAAAATTTCAACTGCACCATGCCGAGCTACATTACAAAAAAAAAAAAAAAAAGAATTGTTGCTCATTAATTCAGGAAAGAAAACATTATACAGTGTTCATATCAGTGACCTGTACATAATTTTAAATATTTCTGGAATGGATATTTTTCATAAAAAGTATTACGGTATATGGAACTAGGGACTAGGCCATCTATCATACTGCATGCCTCTCTCACCTCTAGTATCTTTTAAATGGAATGCTTCTGTCTGATGATCTAATTTCCTATGGATGCTGTGTTTATGTAAATGCTAAACCATACTATGATTCTGGAGCTTCTGAAATCCTCAGTAAGGTAGAGAGGGCAGTCAACATTTTATTTTATAATAGCTGTTATTTATTAATAACAGTTCAATCAAAGAATTCAGCTTTAATTCTATGGATCAGCTATTGCACTTGCAACAAATAGTATCAGGTTTGGCAAGTGCTCTGCTTAGTGTATTGTTCAGCTAACAATATAATTATAATATAACTCAGTAGAACGTATTTATTAAGTAAAATATAACAGCTGGAAAATGAAATTGGAACTTCTGTATCTATGGTGAGCTATTTAACATTAAAAGCTTAAGACTATCATTGACATGACATTCTTTGAAGTATTACAAAGTATTACATGATATTCTTTAAAATCTTGTAAAGTTAAGAACATATGAAAGACCTTAAAGGAACAGATCATTAATTCTCCTAGTTCATTCAGCTTTTAAAGATCATCTAAAAATTACTGTTACCTTCTCAACACAAATACTTTATATCATCCTTTTTTCATCAAATAACTAAAGTATGCTGCTTATACCAGTTCCTTTTTATGCTCCTTCCCCCCAAAAAAGCTTATCCTATCCTCCACTAATTTAAATTATTCTGGCCTCTTGCAGCATTCATCATGTCTGGCTTCACCCAATCAAGCAGGACTGAAACCACTTAGAACCTCACAAGAAAATCTAAGAATTTAGAAAAAAAATAATATGTATTGAATAAAGTTAGGAGACCATAACCAAAAGAATTTCAGCAACTTCAGTTAACTATATTCAAAAACTAACTTTATTTGCAAAAAAAACCCAGTTCAAATGCTCTTGTGCTTTGTTTTTGTTCCTTTCCTATGTAATAGACTTTTTGGCCCCTTCTTTGAAGGGAGCTGGCCTTGTTTCCTTCAGTGCTTTGTTTTTGAAATGGTGAAATGTGTTCTTATTTTGTTTTCTTTTTTAGTAGCAGTGTGAGAACTCACTCTCCCATATCTCTTCTTACAGTAATAGTTTGCATAAGCTAAATATCCCCAAAATGGTTTCATTAACTTCTATGGGGAATTACAATTCCCATGATTCCCAGACAGAATGTCTATTGGTTTTATTAGCTAATTCTTGAAGTTGTATATCTATTATATCTGGTGGAAATAAAAATGGGAAGGCTGCCATATACTGAACCCAGTGCACTCAACATAATAGCTGCTCTTAATATTTATATATATTTTAGACTCTGGTGGAATATGGAGCGAATGTGACTATGCAAAACCATGCTGGTGAAAAACCTTCCCAGAGTGCTGAACGTCAAGGATACACAATGTGTTCACGTTATTTGGTAGTGGTGGAGACCTGTATGTCATTGGCATCCCAGGTTGTGAAGTTAACAAAACAGCTAAAAGAGTAAGTTTTAATTCCTTGGGGTATCCCAGTTGTTCTCAAAACAGGGCTTTATTAATGCTGTATATAATTTAGGCTGCTTTATGGTTCATGCATATCTGCATGATAGATCATATAATACTTTGAGTTGAAGATCGACCACCAGTCAACAGGCAGTGAGATCCTTGGCTAGCTGCATATCTTATTATTTGTGTTTATGTCATCTTGGGACATATGATGGACATACTGAAAACACATTCCATGGATAAGCATAAACTGTGAAAAGATTCTCCAGAATTGCCTTTTAAGCAAGGCAAGTTGAAATAAACCTCAATTCTCTAGACTGAGACTTTTGAACTAATGACACATTCAATAAAATGTAACTCGTATCATAGAATTCTTACTTCTAATTCTATTTTTTTCATAAACAATTTTTATCCACTGTCAGTCTCTTTGATTATGCCATTGCGCTCTCACTATATAGAAATGTGAATGTAAAACATTTACATGCTTATTAAATTATTCATAATTTCTCCTTAGGAATCTGCAATTTACTCAAAACTTTCCTATTCAGCACTAGCTCAGGGATAACAGTTGGAAAGCAGATTCACCCCAGTTGCTTGATTAAACAAGGACAATGCTTTTCCAAATCTAACTCTGCTGCGTTATTGACAAGTAGTTCTCTAAGACTGTTGAACATGCTGGAGAAAATGCTACAACTCACAATCAGGGGTGGGACAGAGAGAGCACAAAGGTTTTGCTGGAAAAGAAGAAAGCACTGTTGATTCCAGACAAGTGGCCAATCTAGTTCCTTAGATTGCTTTTTTGTTTAATTTATATGCTGCCCATCTCACTATCCAAAGTGACTCAGTTCATTGGATCTGATTCTGTATAATCTAGTTGAAGCCAGCTGCTTGCTAACAAATTACAATGATGCCAAAATGATGACACAGTGCAATGATGTCATGATTATGTACTTCACATGACATTGATGCAAACATATAAGTATGCCATTAGGCCTTATCGTTTGCCCCTTTTTGTCCAGCTCCTGCAGACATCCATGGTTGAAGCCTATTGTTTGACAAATTCTTACAATGGATGATACCTACAATTAAGGTGTTGTGAGTGTTAAATACTTACCTTTTCAGAGTGACTTATCATCTCCACTTAATAGATACATATATTTCAAGGTAATATCTCTACAATAGTTAATAGTAGTAGTTTACATTTATAAAATAATCCCAAATACTTAAGCTCTACATTGTTTTGCAAGTGGTAATCTCCTTATATAAATAAACCTAATGTAGTAATCATTTGCATTGGAGACAAATTTGGTCTCTATCAGGTATTTAATTCAAGAAATATTAACATTGAAAAATGTAGTTGGAAGACAAAAACAGGTAGAGCAGGGGTGTCAAACTCGCAATGTCACGTGACATGTTGCGACATATTGCAACTTTTTTTCCATTGCTGGCAATGGGGTTTTGCCATGACACATCTGGCCTGTGGGCCGGCAGTTTGACACCCCTGAAGTAAAGCAAAAATAGCCAGAAATAACAAATGGAAATAATTCAGAAACCAGCAAAAGACCACTTTGTGTTACAAACCAATGCTGAGAGATGGTAGGGGCAAATAGCACAAAAAAGGAAATTTATAGGTAAGAGAAAAAAAGTAAAAATCTTCTGTGTGTCTAGTTCTACAAAATGGGCTAGTGGTGAGCCATTTAAAATACGTTTTGCCATTTCCAGATCCTTTGCTATGCTGTATGAGCATTTTCATTTGTAAGTACCGCAGATTCAGCCTACATATGGTTGAAATCATGTGAATGCTTTCTAGCTTTAAATTTGTCCTTTCAAAAGCTCTACAACTGAGAAGCGAGTTAATAATCTATGTCCTTTGAGCCAGGAAATTATCCACTTAAATATACCACAGCTGGACTTGTGCTGTCAGTTTTGTTCCACATTTTAAGCAAATCATTCTGAAAGTGAAAGCAGTAATGAGGAGGTGGCTGCATTTTTATGCACACTCTGGCAGTATCATATGGCTTTAAACTGAGAAAAGGAAAAATATAGCTGTTCTGGAAATTTTCTATTTCAAAGGTAAACATTAGCCAAGGTTTTATAGAAGAGGGAAAAAAGAAACCATATTATAGAATGTAGCAGCCTAGTGGCCAAATTTTGTGGTGAGCAAAAGTTGTCAATTTCCAAACTGTTTACAGGCAGCACAATAAATGTACAGTATTTGGTATATGTATTCTAGTAGAGATATTTCCTACAGAAAATACAAGTCCTGTTACATCAAGCAAAGGGGCAAACATGTTGCAAGCTCCTTGTTAAATCCCACCCCTGTAATAGAAGTAAGATTCTGACACAAGTAGATATACCTCGTCATAAATCAAACGTCATTCTTTCCTTACAAATGAATAACATATTTGCATCTTTTTCATCAAATAGATCAAATCACCAATTAACACTTATAACTGAGTAAATTATGTCAGATTGTAGCTCCTCATAGGATATCATTCAACATTAAGCAATTTATCTTGCAAAAACTGGCAAAAATCTGCTGGGGGGGAGAATAAATGAATTAAATTAAAATATTAACAATTAAATAAAACTTAATTTCTTGACAGTAATTTTAATACTTTTTGGAGGAACTGGAGGTCTCTAAGCAGATTGCAAATTTGTTTAAATTTTAAAAATGAGGTTTCATGGCACCTACCTTTAGCCTCCCCAAATGGTTTTACAAGTCTGGAAAAAAACTTTTTTTTTTCCTTACTGTAACAATTATTTATCCTGCTTGTTACTCACTCTATACGAAGAAATAAGAGAATGGAGAATGGAGACTCCAAAATCTGATACCACATTTCCTCAAAATGCAAAGCAATTTTGGGAAGTGGATGAAAAGACTAAACAAAAAGACTTGAGCTAAATGAATGGAATTAAAAACAAAATGGTGAAATTATTTGGGATGAAACCAAACTGAGTGTTTGGAAAGAGTGTTTTAGAGGTTTGTATGGAAATGAGAGTTATGTGGTGAAGAGTATAATTAAAATAAATGTTATAAATATCAACAAAAGGTTAATGAGAAGTCATAATGAGAGAATATGGACAGATGTAAAGCTGCAGGTAGAGATAGTGTAACTGTAGAAATGTTGAAATATAGATGTGGTTTGCAACTTACTTAACATGTGTGCAAAGGCTACATCTGTGTCTGATGACTGGAAGAATGCTTTTATTGTTCCCCTGTAGCAAAAGCGACTGTAATAACTACAAAGGGATGAGTTTGTTAAGTATGCCTGGGAGGATGTTAGGCAGGATTTTGATTGAAAGAGTAAAAGAGGTGATAATGAGAAAACCTGAAAAATACACTGTAGTTTTATGTCAGGCAGATTTTCGCTCTTATAGAAAGTTGTTGAAAAAATGTAGAGTGAATGGGTCAAAAGAAAAGAAAGATTGAGTAAGATATGTTGGAGTTTATGAGGTTCTGAAAAAGAAAAAGAATTTGAAAGAACAGTTCATAAAAAGGGAGAGAGAGGTGAGAGTTTTGCTTTTTAAAGGAGTTGCTGAAGGATGTGCTTATCATAACTAGTCATTTGAATCCTATTTTATTTGTTTATATAGCAATGGCAGTTATTTTAAAGTTCCATTTTGTAGAGTTTATTATTGCTACTACCCCTTTCTAAACTCCTGGAAACATGGAATCAAAAGACAATAACTATAGCTAAATAAATAATGTCAGTAAAATAAATAAAACGCTAGTATTTTTATTTTACCTTATCTTTACATAAATAACTAAATTCTATCTGAAAGTATTTACTTAAAAATATCCCATTAGAATGGGTTTTCCAGAAATGTCTAAAACTTAAAATCGTGTTTATGAGAAAAATCCACATATAGTTTACTAAAGAAAAAAGAAATAAAAGACTAATTCACAGACACATACACAGACGCACCCAAATAATGTTATGCAATTAAATTATTACATTTTTGAAAAGTCTTTTTTAACAATAGGAAAAGGGGGAAATTAAATTAAATTCCTGGCAGCAAAATCTTTGTTTAAAGATAGAAAAAGAGATCACTTTGCCAGAGAATTATATAGCTTACAGTGAAAGAAAGTCTTTCTAGGATTATAGTATCAGTTTTAATGCTTGGAACAGTTGCCATTTACTGGAAAAGGGATTTTTAAACAAGTATTTATGTAGAAAGCTTGCAGTTTTATTAAACATAAAACTTATCAGAAAGAACCAATAGCCTGTAATTTTTAGTAAATTCCAAGACATATCAAGATACCGATCTGATAGTTAAGCAGGGTGCTTTTTGATAGTGTGAAAAGTGTCTTGATGTCATATGGCATGGAGTAGCCAATCAGTGCTGTACAGAACTGGTTTCTGATACAAACTTCTCAGTACTTTCTTTTATGGAAAATGTTATGGCTGACTAGAAAGATTTGGGCACACTGCCATAGACATTTCATCAAGTAAATGAGCAGTGAAAGGTTTTATTTAAATGTCATGCTAATTGCAAAATAGTTATATAGTTAATTAGAACTGAGTACCTTGTTTGGCCTCCTCATATGAGATCCTATCTTCACTAAATGTGAACCTTTATTATCCTTACCGTCAAAATTAAATTATGTGTTCATAATTATTCTTGAAGTTCTGAATAACTCTTTTAAATATTGTTAATGAAAGCTAAGATAAGGGTCATGTTTTAAAATAAAATATATAATCTAGTACATGGTACTTGATCACTTAATTTTAAATATGGAAGTATAATCTATTCATATAATCTATGAAGCAGAAAATTCTAGATATCGGTTCTGTGTTGCTAGCAACTCTATAAACTTATTTGGTATAAAGTATACTGCTTTCTCTCTTTAGTTTTGACTTATAAGCACTGGACTCAGTTCACCCTCATTTTGTGTTTGGTGAGTCACATCATTCCAGATGAATGCTGAATAAGTGTACTTGCTCTCTACTAAATGACTATCTACCATGAGAGAAATGGAAGAATACATTTCACATTTAAAAAAATTAATTGCAAGTTTTTTCATTATTATATGTTGCTGCCATGATGAGCTAATTTCAAATTTCTTTAATATTATATTAAAACTTTCTGAACTTTTTTACATTCCAAATTGGAATGGGCCAACTCATCACAGCCAACTTGCTCCAGCCAACTCATTCTGGTCCACTTGCCCTGGCCAACTCACCATGGGACCACTCACCATGGGATAATTCAATGCAGGTAACTTGAGAGAGGCACAAGTAGAATTATAGTTCACCCCAGCCTCTAGGACAGGGGTGGGAAACCTTGGTTCTTTTATGACTTGTGGACTTCAACTCCCAGAATTCCTGGGAGGCTCAGGAATTCTGGGAGTTGAAGTCCACAAGTCATAAAAGAGCCAAGGTTCCCCACCCCTGCTCTAGGACTTCTAACTTGATACAGTTCAAAATCTAAAGCAAGACATGGCTCACGGCAATTCACTTGTTCCTCTCTTGAGTTATCCTGCAGGGACAAAACTCACTTAACAATTATCTCACTTAGCAATAGAAATGTTGGGCTCAGTAGAGGTTGTAAGTTGAGGATTGCTTGTCCATCCATCAAGACTACATTAAGTAGACAAGTAAAAAATTTACTGCCTATGTAATATTTAAAAAAACTAAATTTAAACTAAATTTTCTCTCAATTCATTGGTAAAAGAGTTCAAGGAAAGTACTGCCAAATTTCCGGGACTCTGATTTAATCAGACCCCAGTAAATTCCTAGTTGTGAATTCCAAAGCACTCTGTTCCTTCTAATTCTAATCTCACAATTGACACCAACATCATTGCTAATAATAAATAATATATATAATGCACGCAACTTTCAGAAGGTTCAATAAAATGATCAAAGTGTTGTCACAAGGATTAGAAGCAATTTGCAGAACAGAGTTCTCTTTTGTGTATGTTGGCATTTGTATATGTTGTCTGAGTGCACCCCTTAAATTAGAAATGAGCAAGGCCTTTTTTAAAGGGATGTTTACTGAAAACAATTGTGCCTCTTTTAGTACATTGATGGGCAGCTTTTTTTAGGAACAAAAATAGCATAACAATTTAATATTTTTTCCAGACAGACAGCAGAGCGTGTGGGTTTACAGAACCAACTCCAGCGGCTTCTAGACACTCAGAGGACAGATGGCAAATCACAGTCAAGGTAACTAGGCTTATAAAAGTGGGGTTCAGTTTCTGAACAGGTATTTCTCATAATTATTGCACAGAGAAGTTACGCTTCAACTAAATTTTTAGTAATCTGAGTTATAAAGTATGTATCAGAAATGTCATGTGATAGAAATTCATATTGAATGCAAAATAGAGAAGAGGTTCTGATGTGTCAAATGCAAAACTACGATTACTTTGCTTCTACAGAAATGCATAATATAAAAAGGGAAACTTGAGAAGAAGGCAGTAATTTCTCCAATATTGTGTATTTGTAGCATACATAAATTTTTGAGAAGTTCCAAGCTACTAAACTATATCTAAATCCACATTATTTGGTTCTGTAGTAAGTGTAGTTAGTCTGCTGAGATCAGTGCAAGGAATCAGAACAACACTAAGAATTGAGCAGAGCAGTATGTCTATTGCTATTCACCTATTTACAAAAATCAGCTGTAATCACTACAGAACAACCAGATAAGCATTCCAGGATTAGGAGAATCTGCTCACCATCACTTCTCCCCCCTCAGGGATTCCAGATTAGCCAGTTTCTTAACTCTTCCCACCCTACCCCACTTCAGCTGCAAATTCCACCACACCAATGTAGTTGCTGTCCAAAATGTAAATTTTAATATTCTAGCCAAATTCTGGTCATTGCTAAGAATCCTGACCTGATACTTGATCTGCCCATCTGGAGACACTCCATGCCGAGAAGGAGAAGGTTGTTTCAGATCACTCGTTTAACCTCTTCATCTAAACTTCCTCAGAGTATTCAGAAGCATTTGGATATGTAAAAATGGAATGGAAATCAGCTATACTGCTCTACTCATATTAAATTTGAATATAATGGAGAGAAGAATATTTATAGATAGTCTGCTCCTCTCCCCCTTTCCCAATGTCTTTTCCAGTGTTAACATAAGGACTATCAATTGAATTATAAATTCTGAGGCATAATTTTTTTTGCTAGTAATGATGTTAATATTGTTGTTGACTATTAATAGTATTATTACGATTCCCATGCAGTCAAAATTCTGATGATTATAATAAAATATATTAGATTTTAACTCACAAGCTTACTCTATCAACATCTAATATAAATGTGTATTATAAAATTCTTCTGTGGGAGGTTAGCAAAAACTGGGAAATAATAGATCCTAGCTTGCAAATAGACTTACATTCTTAAATGTAGCATAAATGTGCAAGTCCATAATATATTCCAAGTGGATGGGGTCAAAAATAGAAGGCAATAGAATGCATAGGAAAGGGGGAGAAAATGTAATGGAAACATCCATGTTGTGTCTGTATAATTTTGATTGTGGTCTACTGTACTAATTTTTTCTTTCTTTCTCCACTGAAGTTCACCATCATCACCCACTTCTGGCAAACCTCAGTGGAAACAATCTGATACAGATGATGTGACTCCACCAAAAAGTAAACTGAACACTCATGATGGGATTCAGATTCTTGGCAATGCAGGAACTCACCACCCTAAGCAGCCCAAAATGAAAGAAGACGATTCTGACAAAATCCTGCGCCAGCTGCTGGGGAAAGAAATCTCTGAGAATGTCTGCATGCAGGAAAAACTGTCCTTAGAATTTCAGGACGTTCAGACTTCCAAGAATACAAAGAAGGTGCCATTGGAGAAAAAGGAACTGAAATTAGCAAGACTGAAGCAGCTAATGCACAGGTCCCTCAGTGAATCTGACACAGATTCAAATAATTCAGAAGACCAAAAGAACACACCTGTGAAAAGAATTGATAAGCCCAGGCCACGGCCTATTGTGGAAAATACTGAAAGCACTGAGAATTTGCATCTCATGATTAAGAAACATGCTTTGGCATCTGGACGCCGGTTTCCTTTTGGAATTAAAACCTCAAAATCAGTGGATGGTCACAGCCCTTCTCCCACTTCTGAAAGTAGTGACCCTGATAATGAATCCCACTATCAGGTTGGAACTGTGTCTCAAAGCCAGGTTGGGGGAGACCCCTGTCAAGCCAATCCTGATACCATGATGGCTCCCAAAGTAGCCACGAGTCCCAAGAGTGCCCTCAAGTCTCCCTCTTCAAAACGCAGGACTGCTCAGAACTCAAAACTCAGAGTGACATTTGAGGAGCCTGTGGTACAGTTAGAGCAAACAGAGATTGGTTTAAATGGGGAGAAGGACAAAGAGCAGAATAAATCTCTTCCGCGGCCAATACCCAACGCTGACACTGGGGACCAGCAGAAACGTCCATTTGGAACATTTCGATCCATAATGGAGACCCTGAGTGGCAATCAGAACAATAATAATAATTATCAGTCTTCAAGTTTAATCAAGACCTCATCACCCTTTACCTCATTAGGAAGAAAAGCCACAGATAGCAAGGGAAATTCAGCAACTTCTACAAAAGGAAAAAATAAACCAGTGAGTTATTATAAAGGGTTGAGGGAATCATTGTGCTTTCATCAATAATTTCTGCCAAAAATGAATGCCCAAAATAATGATATATGCATTGCAGCATTAAATTAGTATCAGGTCATCATCACTGGGGGAACTTAGGAGAGGTAAATGATGATGTGGGAACATAGGGAAGGAGGCAAGAAAAAATTAGAAAGGGTGTAACGCAAAGATTTCTGATTGAACTTTTTCAAAAATGTGGATCATAATGCAAACTTTTATATTTGCCTGGATGAAGTGATGACAGTAAAAGTCAGCTTGCATTCTCCAGTGCAGAGAAGAAATATCAAGAGTGTTTTGTCTTATATATAGGTCAAAGAGGAAAGGAATATCTCATCATTTTGCTTTGGTATGAATTCAGACCAGGAATAGTTTTTATGTAGATGGTTCTTAAAATCCAAGCCTCTCAGCAAAAGATAAAATATTCTATATTTTATATATGGAGAGAGAGAGAGAGAGAGAGATGATTGGATAAGAGTAATAAATATTTTATTTGGAATATATTATAGAAATATTATTAGAGAGGCATATCCAGGCAATGCTGTTAAATCAGAAATAGGAATACAACCATATGAAGAAATTCTAAAGTATAAATATATGAAGCACCAGGGGACCCAAGCATGGTGTTACATTCTGTTTCCCTTACCTAAATGCTGTGCTTGGCAGCTATTATAATGTGTTAAAACATTCATATGGACTAACATGTTCCAGCTTTGAATTATTTTCTTTTCTATACAAGTGCAAATCTTTCTGTTTCAGCATTTATGCTGGGGGGGGGGAGAGACCCAAAAACCCATCCATGGAACACAGTGGCTTACTTGGAGAAGTTACCAGCTATTATATAATTATTTAAAATAGTTTATTTATATTGACTATAATGTATGAGCCATAGAGCAATTGAGACTGCATGTTGGAGATTAATCCATTGTAAAAAAAAAAAATGTGATTGACTTACAAAGAAGTAGATGATGTACAAGAATAGGGTAGCTATAAAGCATTGGGTAATGCTGCACCAGAAGTGAGGCAAAAGGATCAGAATTAGGAAGGTAAAGTTCAACCTTTATTTATAGGAATGATAACTACCAGGGAAAATACTCAAATTATGGGACTTGTGGATGTATAATTTGCTTCTAGAGATCCAAAGAAAGGAGAAAGAATTCCAAATAGAATTCTGCCACAGAGATGAAAGATATGGAAGAAAGACAACAGAGGGATAAAGCAAGTTTTGTCTAGAACAGAGGTGCCAGTAGCATAGGATAGATTCAATTTGCCAGCATTTTTTGCTGGATCCCAAATCCCCTATCCAATAGAAATGGTAGGAAAAAAAGAAAGTTCAGTGGGTGGGTGGACAGTAGGAGAGAAGTTTGATTTTAAGCAGCAAAATGGGCTACCTCAGATGACCTTTTCTCCATTTAAAAAGGCAGTGTCCCCAAATCTCATGTCCATTTGAGGACTTGGTCCCATCCATTGGTATGCAGCTCAAATCCCAATAATCCTGGAGTCAACAGAAGTTGCATACTCCTGATCAGGAGACTTAGAAGCCAGTTTTGATTAAAAAAAAAAAACTGAGTGGATCATATTTTACAGTCCCATTCCAAGAAAATGCAAGGATTATATTTTATAAAGAAAGTTTTTAAATAAAGAGTAAGCTTTCACAGAAAGTCAGTGTTTTTGTTTAAAAAATTAAGCCTTAAAATGATTTTCTAAAGTATTGAACTAAACTAACATTTATATGAATAAAGTATACCTTACCTCCATGTTGGTTCTAATAATGAAGATGTGTGTTAAAGGAGACTAAGAAGCCAAAGTGTACTGAAAGGCAGGGCAAATGATACATTTTTCTACAGATCAAGATTGTTGAAATCATATATAAGTGATCAACAGAAGTCTTTGAACCTAAGACTGCATCAGGGATCCAAGCACCTTTTGATTTATGTGGTACCCCAATACCCCTCCCAACTTGATTGCTGAAAACTGATGACATGGTTTTCTGCAATTTCAAGATAAGAAACATTCTCAAACTATAGCATAAGTCCTAAACCAGCATTTTCTAATTTTTACAAACCCAATCTTCTCCCAAAAATCAAGAGAAAAAAAAAAAGGAAAATCTCAGTTTGTCTGGATGTGGTGTGCCCACACCTATTTTGCATCACTGGTTCCATGCCCTCAGTCATTAAAAAGTTGCCCATCCTGTTATTATAAAGAGATTTAGTGAGAGTTAAATGAAAGAAATGACAATTTGTGGTCAGGAGAATGTGTATATTTTCAAAAATGCCAAGAGAAGACCTATAATTTTTTGTTCTTATTTCTTTTAGAGGGGGGAGGGTCTGTTTTGATGGCATTCTGCATCTGTTTATTTTGACTAATTATCATTATGGAATGTATGGGTGAAACACTCTTTTTTACAAAATATTTGCAACATTCATTTCTTCTAAAAGCATTATTTCAAAGCTATCTGGTTTCAGCTTTATTGATAGATGTGAGCCAGTGCCAGATATCAGCAATATTTCTTTTTTTTTTTAACCGATAATGTTATAGACACTGTCCAGTGAAATTCAATCTTGTCATTAAGGTAGAAAATTATTATTGTGTGCCAAAAGGACATCCTGTTTTCTAGGGATTCTAGTTAGACACTGAAGATTCTGCATGCTTTTTTTCTTTCTTCCTTTCAGTCATGTCCAATTCTTGGGGAATAGACTGGACACGTCCCTGCTGTTTTTTTAGCAAGGTTTTTCAGAAGTGGTTCACCATTATCTCCTTCCTAGAGCTGAGAGAAATTGACTGGTCCAAAGTCACCCAGCTAGCTTTGTAGCCAAGATGGGATTAGAACTCACCGTCTCCTGGTTCCTAGCCTGATGCCTTAACTACAACACCAGACTGGCTCTCTATCTGCATGCCTATTTGAATGCTAAACTGTAATATAGATGTTCAGGCCATTTGTTGATCGGCTTACCTTTTTAATACCTGTCTGTACATTGTGCATGTGAAAAGCTTGCTGCATGGCCCTTCAACTGACACAGGCGTTGTCCTTCCTTAGGCTCTTTGTTCCAGCTACACCAGTTTTTCCACTCGCATGCTGATTGAAGACCACCTTGATAACAATGCATGGTATGTCCTGATGTAGAATGAAAACATTTTTATTACTTTTTATTACTTTCTCATTGCATCTACAGTTTATAATTGTTCATAGCCTGAGCTAATGAAACAATTGATGATAATTGTACAAGAAAACAAAATTTTGATCCGCTAAAAAGATATCATAAATTCTTAAAAATCGTTGCTAGTATTCATAACTGAACTAGCTTGATGGTTCCATGGCACAGTGTGAATAAAAAAACACTAGTACTCATAAATTCAAAAATGCCCTTTAGTTCAGTTTGGTATTGTGTAGCCTTTTGAATGGAAGTCAAACAGCAGATAAGGATGGAAATTAAATTTCCTCTTATGCATAGGCCAAGTCATTCCACTTATATTCAGAGAAAGTCTGACTCATGCTCTATTGGCTCAGGTCTTTCTAACTTGTCTTTGAACTCTGATTTTCTAATGCAAAAATAATGTTAAGTAGGCCAAAATGAAAGTGTTTTCCTCTTTTCATAAATGTAAATATCTTGGTTGGAACCAGACTTGCATTTCTGTGAATGAAATACTACTTCTATTTGGAGAGACAACCAATGTCCAAGAAATGTTTTCTGCTGATAAACAATTTTTGCCAAATGTCTTTTCTCCTTGTAGCCGTCAGCCTTACTTCTCTCACGGTTTTGGAAAGTTTCTTAATTCTCCAGAGTAGTAATTATATAAATAGGTTTATTGTTGTAATCGCAAGTCATAACAATGTAGCATAGCATATAAGAAGACAAAATAAGAAAAATGATAAAACGAATGCTAGATATCAGAAAATCAGATCAAAATAGAACCAGGACTACAATTAAGAACTTTAAAAATGCCTTCATATATTTAATGCCAACAAAGCAAAACTAGCAACTTAAGAAGAGACTGGACAGCCATTTGTCCGAAATGGTATAGGGTTTCCTGCCTGAGCAGGGGGTTGGACTAGATGACTTCCAAGATCCCTTCCAACTTTATTATTATTATTATTATTATTATTATTATTATTATTATTATTATTATTGTTATTGTTATTATTATTGTTATTATTATTTAAAAATATCTGCAAGAATTTGGATGTTTAAAGCCCTTGAGTTCCTCTATCACCATTAATTTGACCCTGATTTTATCATCAATGGGACAGGGGAGGACATGATGACTAATTATCTCTGCTTGACTGGTATCCCAAGGGTAGGGAGAGGCACATATGTTTTTTGTAGGAATTGTACTGGGATGGAAATTTAGATGATTGTACTGTAGTAGTATATTTATTGGCATCCTTTTCAACATGTCTACCTCTATTCCAAGAGTTAAGTTCCCCCAGAGATTCTTCAGAATAGTTTTTTGAGGCTACCATAAAATCACCGAAAGGCCCCCACAACCCCCTTCTTTTTATATTCTAAAATTCCACTGACTACAGGTCTGGATCTAACTCACAATTTCAGTTTTTACTGGACACTTGTTTGGAAAAGAGGTGAACTATAAAGTTGTCCAAAAGGTTCAATGCAATCAGCAGTTTTATGTAGTTCAGATTCTTGGAACATCATTATTTTAGCAGTTTATCACCCAATATAACAAAGAAGTTGGCAATGATAAAACAAGAATGGTAATAACATTAAAAGTTAAATGATTTTAGCAACAGATTTTGGGGAAAATGTCTTCATTTAAGTTATGAAATTTATTGTAGATTTTAAAATTCCAGAGTTATATTTGCTTTTATTTAGAGGAAAATTCCATATGCAACTTCAGGATAGATAGATAGATAGATAGATAGATAGATAGATAGATAGATAGGTAGGTAGGTAGGTAGGTAGGTAGGTAGGTAGGTAGGTAGGTAGGTAGGTAGATAGATAGATAGATAGATAGATAGATAGATAGATAGATAGATAGATAGAGCTAGATAACATAAAGATATAGACGCATAGATGCATAGATGATACAGACAGAGATTACTAAGATAGCAATAGCACTTAGTCTTTTATACTGCTTCACAGTGCTTTACAGCCCTCTCTAAGTAGTTTACAGAGTCAACATATTGCCCCCAGCAATCTGGGTCCTCATTTTACCGAGCTTGGAAGGTTGAATCGACCTTGAGCTGGTAAGATTCAAACTGCAGGCAGCCAGCAGGCAGCAGAAGTAGCCTGCAGTACTGAATTCCAACCACTGTGCCACCATGGCTCATGACTCAAGATGGTAGGTAGGTAGGTAGGTAGGTAGGTAGATAGATAGATAGATAGATAGATAGATAGATAGATAGATAGATAGATAGATACTGACTGACTGACTGACTGACTGACTGACTGACTGACTGACTGACTGACTGACTGACTGATGATAGAAAGCTAGATAAATCCTCTGTTTCTCAGGGTTTAATACAGCATGCACACTACATGATTAAACCCTGAGAAACAAATCCATCTATATCCATCTGTCTGTCTTTCTGTCTGTCAGTCATCTATCTTTCATCTATCTATCTGTCTGTCTTTCTAATCTATCTATTGAGAAAGTTTTATCTGTAATAAGTAATTAAATCGCATCTCTCATATGTTTCTCATGAAAGCTATTATATTACTTTTATTACCTTTGTACTTACTGCATAATGAATCCATAGGGACCAATATTTGTTGTCCTCAAAATTAGTCTGTCCATTTTTAGAAATGAATAGACTTCTTTTTTTCATTAGGCATATATTTTCAGATTACCAATATCCATTTATTATCAGCAAGCAGTCTTGGTATGAATTACTTGTAGGAAAGAAGGAACACTACACATGACTACAATTTGTAGTGGGCACAATATGAACTTTGTGCTTCAATAAATGCCACTGTGAACTATAGCATCTTTACTGAAGCTGCTATTTTTACATTACTTCTCTCCCCACTACCATTGAAGACAGGAGCAATTTTTTAATATAGACCTTTAAAGGTGTAATTAAACAGATTATGCAAGTATAGAGGCTAAGACTGCCCTTGCTTTTCCCAATATGTGAAACCACTTTTTCATTTTTTCAGCTTCATCTGAGAGCAGCTTGTTCCTATCTCTTTAGAATTTAATGTGAGCCATAAGAACTGAGTCTTCTGAGTTAGGTTAGAATTTTCACAAATGATTACTAATAGTTTGATGGGAAACACTGACTATATATTGGCTTAAATCCGGAACATGCTATTCTATAAATGAAAGTTAGCTTCTGTTTGTAGAAAAGACTTGGATCCAGTGAAAGTTCTTCCAGGAGAAAGAAAGGAAAATAGTTTCTCTAAAGTACAGTATGGGAAATTTCAAAAGCTGCTCTAAAGAACATGATACTTTCCAGAACCTCATGGAAGTTGGCAGCTGGAGGGTTGATAAAAATAGTATCACCACTGCTTTTGCGGTAGAACATTCTGTGAACAAAATATAATTCATAGGTAGTGTTAATTCAACTTTCAGTTTCATAACTAATTGTTTTTCCTAAAAATAGGGTAAATCTTAAAGGGGAAAAAGTGTAAGGAAAATTTTATTTTTGGCCTTTTGTCTGCAATCAATAGAAACATGACTGTGTTATTATTATCCCAAAAGTGCTTGCAAGTATTATCCCAAAATGTAATATGTGTGTCTGTGGTGTGGTTTGGAATTAGAGCAAACAAAATATTTGCCAGATAGAAAACGTTGGAGCAGGGATGCCTTCTCAACTGGACAAGTTTAGATCATTGTGAAAATCAGCTTAGAAAGGCCACAATTTGTTTTAAATATAGAATAGGCAATCATGGTGAGTATGAAGTATTTTTCTTGCTCAGTTACTTGAAATAGAGCAAACTACTCTTTGAAAATATATTATGAAACCTGGCAAAAGATAGCAGATTTACAATATCCAACTCAAACATTTCTGGATTTATTTAACTACAATTTTGAATTTTGATTTCTTAGATTCCCAACTTGGTGCCTATGTACAAAACATTTTATATGTAATCAACACACAAAAAACCATAGTTTATCTAAGAAGCTTTTAAGCAGTATGGTTCATTGTTAAAACACATGCTTGATGAAGTTCCAGAAAGGACTGTAAAAATCTTGGAATTAATCCTGACATTATGAAATAGAAAGAACAAGATGACCTACTCTAAAATGTAGTGGATTAGGCTGAAGGTGTGAGCCTTCAAAGTGGTTTGGGTTTCATATTACAATTATATTACGTATCATATTTGCAAGGAGGTTAGGCATGTCTATGTATACATCCAAAACTTACAATAGCTGTAAGTTTTAGGCAGATAACCCCCAATTCCTTTAAAAATGACATCAAGATCATAGAACATGGAATAAAAGGATTAAACCATGGTTTTTGTGTGATGGTTCTGACAAAAAGCCCCACAGCTTTTATTTATCCCAAGAACTGATGTGTTACCATGCTGGATGTCTTGCATAAAATAGCAGCAGAGCCATCAGGGACCATCCATATTACATGCCATCCTAAGCATTTTTATGTAGAAATGTAGGGATATTTCATTTATTAAAACTTTTTTTTCATTTTCAAACTAGAAAACGTGAAGCTACATGGGGCTTTTAGTACCTGGTTATCTATGAATTTGATGCAGTTGTATGGAGGCTAAAAAATGCAGTAGATGAACAGAAAGACTTTATGAACTTCAATTGAATAGTAGTGAATACAATATTTACAAAATTGCAGTGAATCAAATAGCATTATATTTTTTCTTTTGTTTTACTATACGTGTAGGTGTATACTTGCTAAACTCATGGTTTTGATTTATTTGTGGAGTTTTGAATTTTATTTATTTTATTTATATCTTGTCTTCTTTTTGTACAACTCAAAGATGGTATACATAATGTTTCTTCCTATTTTCTGCACAACAGAAACCTTGCAAAGTGAGTTGGGCTAAGAGGAAATGATTGATCAATGGTTTCTGTGCCCAAGAGACGAGTAGAATACACATGCTCCTAATTTCTAAACCTAACACCTTAATCACCACATCAAACTATAGACCAGGGGTGTCCAGCCTTGGCAACTTTAGCAGCTTTAGCAACTCTAGCAGGAGTGAGGACCCCTGCTATAGAGAATAGTAACTGAGCACAATTCTAGGAGCTGAAAGTCACAAGGCTTAAAGTTGCCAAGTTTGGACACTCCTGCTATAGACAATAGTAACTGAGCACATATTCAAGCCATCAGTTAAAAGGAAAAGTGTTCCATAGTTGAAATAAATGACAAGCATTGTTTAGATTGGGTTTTGAGAACAAAACAAATGATATGTGCAAGTTTCAGGGGCAAAATTCAGCTGTCTGTCCTATTAATGCAGTTAGCAGTGTTATTATTTAAAAAAAAACCAGCAAGCTACTTGTGGCAACTTTTTGTCACACCATGTATTCATATTTAATTAGAGAATATGGAGAGTGAAATGGAAAGTGACAGGTTCATTAGAGTTTTTACGGTATTGCTGTTCTTTAAGATTGTCCTTTCTACTATCAATGAGGAAATGAGCATGTGTTGAAAGTTGCCTACTGTGAAAGAAGTGACCTAGCCAGTTTTCTGTCCAAACTGCAAACCATAGGATTACAGAGCACTGTGTAAAGTTACTGAACATTTTCAAAATATATCATGGAACAGGTTTTAATTTTATTTACTTACATATTCCCCCTAGTTTCTCTATAAATGCAAATTTAATTTGTAATTAACAGCTATTTATACAGTGCAAAGCCAGTTTTGCAAATATATGTATAGTCTACAGTTTTTTAATACTATGATTGTATTTGAATAATATAATCTTAATGATCTACGCATTGAGATAAACAGCATATTTTTACAATTAGTGTCTACTTAGGCAGAATAAAATTATTATGAAAATGTCTGCTCATTATTTGCATACTTTTTAATATCCACATGCATAATAGAAGAACCTCGTATTCAAATTTAGTTCAGCACTGAAAGATCGGTTAATGCCACATAGTTTATCATTCTTCATTACTATGATGTAGGAAAAGGAATTTAACTGGAATTTAAAGTCATTTCTCATTTCCCAATTGTAGATATTTATTCCAGGCTGCTTTGGTGGAAATAAATCAATTTTTATAAAAGTTGGATTTTCCCACAAGGTAATTGCCATAGTCCAAATGAGTACACATACAGTACGCTATAATTGTCTCTGACAGCAGGATGGATGGAAATTGGAATACAAATAATCTCTGTGGTATTTACTAGCTATAAGATTAAAAATTATCTACATACTTGATGGTCTACCAAATGTCTGTGCCAATTTAAAACTAATACTACTTTTGGATTATGATTAACTACAGGTTATTTGATCATAAATGTTTCTCTCTTTTTCTTGCTAGGCATAACAACTACAGTGAAAAACCTCAGAACGTTTACAGCAAAAACTGTTTTGAAGAACCAGAGCTGCAAGAATTGTTCCTTTGACTTAACATTTCATTGGATCTCATAGTCTTCCTCCCAACATGGCCTGAAATCTTCCCTCTTGGAACTTACCCATACGAGATACAAATTTCACCAGCAAAATAACAAACTCTTAGGATGCCTTAAATTTGTAGCCATTAGACAATATACAAAAATTAAACATGTATGTGTCTACGTCACTTTTTATAAAGTGCTCTGTTTAAGGCAGGGATGAAAAAAGCCATGGATTGGAAACCCAGTGATGCAAGGATCCTTCCAAATAATCATCTGACCTCCATTTTTTACATTCTCTGTTGCATGGGTGTAATGTAACATGTTCTGTATCTCTCTTTTTCAAAACCTATATGTGTCTGTTAAAAGAAGGAAGAAGGAGAAAGAAAAGCTCTGTAAGTACAGATCATCGCTAAGTCCAGGGCAATGACTCCCTCCCTCTCTTTGCCCCTATATTTTGTCACTCTTTCTGAATGTTTGTATAAAAGAAAATAAACCAGTATTAACCAAAACAGAGTGCATACATGATCAAATGTATATTCTGCTTCATTTATTTTAATTATCTTTGTGGTCCAATTCATTTGAAAAACTTTGTATCATTTTTTTTTAATAATCATAGGTAGAATATGGTTAGGATGTTTTGATATTAAATCATTTTATACAGATGCTGAAGTTTTGACCACTGATCATCATCATCATCACCATCGTCAAAAAATTATATAAACTAGAATAAGGATTTGCTCCAATCATGTTCAGGCAGCTCATTGAGAAATAGATATATAGTCCATAAAGTATGATAACAGCTCAAAGTACAACAACATAGAATCTAGATACACCCTCTGTCCCAAAGTCAAGTGAACCTGTGCTCCATTGTTCAGGCAGCACCTACCTAAGAACATTAAGACAGCAAGGCACTCAGAGTTAAGCTTGAAGTTGCATTATAATCTCTAAATACAATTTTGAGTTGATTTCATAAGCAAGTAATTCAGTCTAAAAGAAATAATCTATGCAGAAAGTCTTTTGTGTATTCTTTCAATCCAGTCTTTTCTCCTAGCAATTGCCATGCAGACAAGACTCTGCATTTTTCTTTGCAAGGTTTTTCAGAAGTGATTTGCCATTGTTTCCTTCCTAGAGCTGAGAGAGAATGACTGGCTCAAGGCTGCCCAGTTGGCTTTGTACCTAAGGCAGGACTAGAATTCACAGTTTCCCAATTTTTAGCCTGGTGCCATAACTATATCCTGAACTGGTCTTCTTAAAACTGATTTAAAAGCATTTGCATTATTTTACTACCCAAAGATGAAGTGATAACATAGTCAGTTCTAGTTCTTGCAGTTACTCTGCCATATTCAATGTCTGAGAATTCGCATAAAGACTAGGAAAAATGATAGTGTCATTCAACATAAACAGTAAGCTTGATTAAAGAATTAGCTCAGGTCACATATTCTAAGCCATGGTTACATCAAACTGTGGTTTATTCTCTAAATGACAACTGGCTAAATTACTACTTAAACTAAGCCATAAATTGTTATATTCAGTATTGTTTCTATAACTACAATGAGTCATTCACATAATGTAACATATTCAACCAAAACAAAAACTAGACAATGCATAACTCAATGATTGATTGCATTCAGGTAGTGCATTAAATTGTGATTTTCTAACTGGCTATACTGTTGGGCACCCTCACTGATAAATTATATTATCTAATCATAAAAAGTAGTGATTCTAATTACACTACACTAAGCAGAGATGATCATGGATTCAATCATTAGGAAGATCACAGGCTTACTTTAAGTGGCATGAAGAGCAGTTGATCTGGCACTGATCCTCATGCACTATGAGTTTGTTTTGACTTTTCCAAAAATGTTTTGAAAATTTTTTAATCATTTACTTATGTAAATGTATTATTTTCCTTTCTCTTTGTTTTTCCATATTTTTTTCAAAAGAATTATTAAAATGTTGGGAAAATACCAAAAACTTCAATAGAACTAAGATTACAAAAAAGATTACATCTTTTTCAACAACAAATAATATTTCATATTTATTGGACTCTATTGCATAGTATGTTGTTGGAACTGCAATGAAATTAATGCTTTATTTAAACAAGTGTTTCTACAGAGTCCAACAATTGTTCCATTTTGGAAAGAACTCAGTTTTGAGATTCTATATTTTCAGAAGTCTACATTCTTTTGAAGTCTATTCCTATCCCATCACAACTTGAAATCTGAACAAAGAAAATCTGTTTTGGAATCCTACTTAACAGCTAAAAGCATTGTTCAGCATTGGGAATATAAATGTAGGACTTCTAACAGACTGTAGAGCTAATGTTACCAGCAACATGTGAATCAATATCTTATCAAAATAGATTAGCTATGGAAAATTATAATGAATTATGTTTTTTATTCATTGAAATGTTTTATATAACGTTTGTGCAAATATGTGTTTCCTGTGAGTATATGTCCTGTATGTTTTTGTTTCTTTTTTATTTGTTTCTTTATGTTTAGATTATTTTTCTGGGGTGGGGGGTTGTATTCAGTTAATAACAAAGATTTCTTGAGGGGGGGAAGAAGGGGGTCAGCTATTCAGGAACTAACTCTGAGGAATTGATCTGTGGACTGAAATAGTCACGCTCCATGGGGAAGGAACCATGTCATGCTGAGATTTAAAATAACTGGGGCAGGAAAAGTTTGGAATATATACTGAATTTCAGGAAAGTTTAATACATTCAGATGAAAGGCCAGCACTATACCATGGGTGAAAATCCTAAAGGATAAACAAGAAAGTTGGATGAGCATGAAAAACAAATTGCCGAAAGTCTGTATGTAAATAACCCTAACAAGAAGAAAAATTGGAAAAGCTTTTAGAAGGCTATAAACAGTGAGCTCACTGTCAAGCTGAAAAGCAAAAGGGAGGTACAGTATATAAAAATGCATTCATAACAAAGGAATATAAACTGGTAGCTCAGGCTTGTAAAAATGCACTTTAGGTTGAACCTCAGAGAGAGGAGGCTGGAAAGTATCCCAAATATAGCAAGAGACTTGGGTGAAACATTGGCAGTAAAAGAAGAGTGTAAAAGGTTATCTGTTTTGGGGTAGAGAAGTAATCAGAGGTAAGAGGAGAAAGACAGAACTTCTTAACCCATTACTTGTGCCTTTCATCTGCATAGTCTCATACAGGATTGGAAAAAGAGGGAGCCTGTTTCAAGATTGATAAAAGTATATAAGTCCTGCACTGTTAGTTCAAATGAATTTCCTGTGCCAGATGACTTACCAACCAGAATGTTAACTATGGCAGAAACATTCAGAATCGCCCACCATAATCATTGAAAACTCCCAGAGAAATGCTGAGCAGCCAGAAGATGGAAACAAAGAAACCATGTCAGACTAAACTTGTCTCTAGTCTCAAGTCAGGGATTAGTCTGATACACAAAGAGAATGCTGTGGGTGTAGTGTGCCTTGATCTCAGACTAGCATTTGCCAAAGTTTCTTATGATGTTATTGTGTGCAAGGTGGATCAATGTGTATTAGAGAATAGTGCAATACAGTGAATTTGCAACTGGTTAAGCAGCCACACAGAAAGGATGCTTATTACAGTCATCCATCTTTGGAGAGTGCAGTGGTGTCAGTGAGTGTAACACTTTCTGCAACTACTTAAGCTACAGAGCTCCTTCTGCAGGATCGTGTGGCTCAGCTCAGCATCTGCTGCACAATCCTGGATAAAGATGGTTTTAGTCTAAGGAGCTGCTATATTCATATCCCTGCCTGTTTCAAAGCATATTTAACTAGGGATCCACTGATGTGCTTGTGTCATTTGCTATTGGATGATATAGCATCAGTTCGAAGTGCCCATTAGGGGAACTATGGAAAGTATTACATTATTCAATAGTGCCTTGTGGGATTGCAAGGGTGTACTTTCATGAAGTTTTGTGCCTGATAGTCAGCGCAGAGAATGAAATGAACTGCAGCTCAGAAATGCCAGTGTCAGAACTGTGACTCTAGGTAGTTTCTGAAATGCTGGAAAGTTCTTGATTCTTTAAAAAGGAACATATTAAAATGGCTTCTTCTCTATAAATATCAGTGCTTATAACATTAATAACACTAATTTTAAATGTATTTAATTAATAAATACGGCTAGTAAACATAACTTTTAAAATCCATTCTCTCACTTTTATCAGTATGGTCATTATTTTTTTAATGCAGTTTACTCCATAGATGTTTCCTCTTGTTATTTTCTTCATTTATATGAAGAGTAAAATGCTGGTGTTTTGGGAGCTTGCTTATAAAGCCGGCCGTTTTTGTGCTCTGCTCATGGAGCGAGTTACCGGTCTGCCCGCCGTATTGGCCATATTGTTTCTAACTGTCCCACATCAGTCCGTGTATTCCTAAGCTCAGGGATCATTTCCTCCCTTATGGTTGCTCTCCTTGTCTGCCTGGTTCATGTCTGAGTGCCTGTTGCTGTGAGTTGGTCTCCTAACGCCTCCTGTCCTATGGCCACCCCTCCTTTTGGCTGTGCCCTGGCTCCCCCCCCCCTTTAGTTCTTGCACAGGCTGCACTGGGGATTCCTTCCTTTTGGCAGTTGAATGGAGCCGACCATTCAACGGATCAGGGCCACCAACGAAATTAAGAACTCAGTCAGACAACATGTTACAGGGTTGCTTATGGGCCATAGGCAGTGCCATATTCTCTCCATCATGGAGAAGGAAGCCCTGGAGCAATTGCGAAGTGACAGCACCATCATCGTTCTGCCAGCTGACAAGGGCAGGGCGATTGTCATGGACAGACCGGAATATATCCGTAAAGCCCTTGCATTGCTCAGTGACACCAGAGCCTACTGGGTAATTGCAAAAGACCTGATGACAGCTCTCAAAAACCAGCTTGGCAAACTGGCAGATAGACTCAAATGGCAGGGAAGAATCAACGACTACACATTGAGGGCTATACGCCCCAGAACTCGGCCATGGCTAGGTTTTATGGGCTCCCAAAAATTCACAAGGAAGGCATCCCTCTATGACCCATTGTGTCATTTAGAGGCACACCAACCTCGGGATTGGCCAAATGGTTGAGCAGTTGGATTGGATATCTTGTGGAGAACAGCAAGACTATGGTGAAGTCATCAGAGGAGTTCCTGGGAAAGATAAAAACCTTAAGGATGGAGGAAGATGAGATCATGGTGTCCTTTGATGCCACCTCATTCTTCATCTCCATCCCACAAGACCTGGCAATTGCAGTGATAAGAAGCTGCCTTCAGCAAGAGGAAAGACCACATCAGGACTCACTCTGCACTGAAGACCTTATACAACTTATGGCCCTGTGTCTTAGAACATATTTTACATTCCAAGGCACAAGTCAAAGGCACACCAATGGGTTCCCCGATTTTGGGGGTTATCGCAGAGGAGTGGGAGGTCTTGCAGCAGTTGGGAGGCCGAAGCAATAACCAGGTATCGCCCCAGGTTTTGGGCTAGATACATGGATGACACCTTTGTGGTCATCAAGAGGCAGAACAGTGTCAGGTTTATGAATGAATTGAAT